TCTTCTTATAAAACGAAGGAACTTATGAGCTTTTTGCAGCAGCAACCTCAACCTCCACGGTCACCAGCATCAATCTGAACACTGATTACAGACCTTTAATGCCGTGTCAGTTGTGGGCTGTGTTCATATTTCCCACAAACTTTGCCCCTGCTTTTGCACCACAGCATCACTGAGCACTACTTTAGAGTCACAGACGTGTGCTGACATCACCACATCTGGCTCTCATTTCCTTGGCTTCTCTTGCAGCAGATAAGATGAGATGTATTTAAAGCACAATGCCTTGTTGTTCAGCGGAGAAGAGCACAAACTGATTGACTTGGGTCTTCACCTCAACTGCTAGTGGACCAAAGGTTAAAACACACTTTTATAAACTGATCATATGCATATGCAAACTGTGTCTAAAGTTTGCAGACAAGTGACTTCACTTTTTCAGTCTTTTGTTGACCCCTTGTCAACTTCTTTGAGACATGTTGCTGCTAATATGGTTCACGAAAAAGTCAAATGCATCAGTGGAAACATTTGATATGTTTTTATGTTCTATTGTGAATCAAATGTGGGTGTTGGGGCTTTTAAGCTTTTAAATATTCAATGACACACTTACATTATTATCTCACTTACATTACATTACGATTTTATTTTTTTTAATGCAGAAAACCTTTACTACCAAATGTACTTAATTTACTTACAATGATTGAGTGATGGCACATTCCTTATTTTGCCCTCCTCAGAGTATGTTTCATTTATATGATGTTTGTCTAGTTCTCCCCAAGGTCTGCTTCTCAGACAAAACTCCCACCCCCTCCCAAATTCCTAAACACATCTTCAAATCAGGGGCTCTCAAAGCAAATTTCATGAAACCTATATCATTCTCACACTGTCGACGAACTTAAGAGCTATTTTATTTCGGCAAGCAGTCATGGAAATCAATTTTAAACACAAATGTATGTTCTCTATATAGTCCTGCAAAGCCCTGTCATTTGTTTAGGCTTGACATACAGTACTGTCCAAAAGTCATAAGCCACTGTTGATTCTTTAGATTTTGGTCCCAAAATGTTTCTTTTGATGATCTATGATTCATCCAAAGTGAGAAAAGACACCTGACTCAAGGGATGAACCAGTTCTGTGTCCACGGATAGCAGACAACTTAGCAAACAACCACCGTGAAATTGTATCTTTGGGCATTTTGTTAGTAGCAACTTGACACAAAGACACCTCAGCTTCAGAGAAATAAAATCGCATTTTTGCACTAACAGGGTGATTCACAAAGACCTATTATCCAGAAATTTGGGCTATCTTGGTAAATGAGGACAACAGAAGAAGTAGCAGCCCTAATAAATATATATATATGTACAGCAGATGAACAGTTTCCACAGTAGACAGTTGCATCTAACCCTTCAGTTCAATCATCTGCTGTTCACTGAAGTATGGTCAGTGAAATGGTCTCGCTGGAAGGACGTGTGTCAAGAAGCCATTCTTGGGGATTTTTGAGGAAGCCATTCTTCATTAACATCAGCCTGGAGAACTATTCCCAAACACGTCTCAAAGAAACTACACGAGAGCTCAGAGTTCAAGTGAAAAATAAAAGTGGTCATATCAAACATTGACTTTCAAGTTTGTTAGAATTGTATCAATTCTGTTTTTCTTCATATATACCATATTTTTATGTATGCATAGACACGTTTTATTAAATTGCTGCATTGCAAAATTAAAAGAAATAAGCTGTGGTACATGATTTTTGCACAGTGCTGTATTTCAGTTAGGTAAGGTAATGTTGAACCGACGAAGAAGTCTGACTCTTATTCCTAATGAGACAAAGTAAAGAGAAAATAGCAGGTCAATATGGAAAATCGCTTGTTTTAAGCCTTTGCAAAAGTGACAATGTGATTTAGAACTGAACAAAACACGTGCATGGACATTTAGATTCATGCACACATTTGTGTTCACACTGAAGCCCAGGGGAAAGATATCTCAAGGTTGTTGTGAAGGCGCATAGTTGAGTAGTGACCTCAGCTTGAAGCCCAAAGAGAAGACATCCAGATTCACAGAACACGTGCCGAGCTCTGGCTCTACTATTGTCGCTTCTTCTCAGACAAACAACAAGTGCATTTGCTGAAAACACTCCATCTTTTCTTTTGTTTCCAACTTCTACCTGGCTCAGTCATTTACTTAGCTCGTAAAACTCGCCAGGCACCTGAATCAACCTCACTTATCTTTTCATGTTACACCATGTTGGAGTTCAGCTTTTAGATATATGCATGTGCCTCACTGACATATCACTTAGTATGACCTTTGTAACTTTTACTCAGTTCCACTCATCACTGCAATTCGTGAGCCTCACCTATGTTCACCTCAAAAATGAGCAAAACTGAAACGAAATACTGAAATGATCATTGCTATTGCAAGAAGAGGTGAGACAGAGATTCTAAATTGTCGTGTATCCGCTGTAATAATAAAATAATAAGTAGAATTGGAATAAGCATAAGAATACATGATAACCTATTAATGCAGTAATTCAAGCACATTCGAGTACCTGATGAACACTTATCAGACATCCTTTGAAGATGTGAAGCATTTGTCAGAGAAGAAGACGAACTTCTTAAACAACTTTGCATGGACAAGCTTAATACACTTAATGATTTGCATAGAAAATAGGATCATATTCAGCAAGGTCTGACTTGTATGAAATATAGTGCAATAGGGAAGTTAAAAGGTTGGAGACATGCCTGCAGCTCTTATTGTATAAAAGTACATTTACAACACAAGGCTGTATTTATGACATGAACAGACGATTTAAAATCATTGCAAGTGTACAGACACTAATAATCTGGCAGCACGCTATCGCACATGAGTGGGCATGCAGGTCCTTACCTCTAAAAGTCTTCCGTCACCGCTAATGCGAAACATGTTACTCCTGAAGTGTAGAAAAAAACGGGTGGAAAAAAGCTCAAGCTGTGACCCCTTAACTCCAAATGCATCTCTGACCTTTTCACACCGTCCATCGGGTCGAAGGACGCATAAACCTGCCACGCAAGCATTGATGCACTCCAGGAGAGATTTGAAGCTATCCTTGACTACGTGTAATAAACTCTGCTTTTTCGTGGCAGAAATTTGTTTTGCTTTCTGTGTTATGCAATTATAAGCTAGTGGAAGAGTCACTGATTTCACAAAAGAAAGAGACACATCTATGAGTGGATTCTGAATTAAAGACTAATGTAAGAAACTCATAGAGGATGTTTTTCTGACTGGGCCACTCAGCACTTTGTCACTCACACTTAAACTATTAGTTTAAGGAAACCAGTGGGTTTAAACTTTGTCAGGAAAGCAGGAAACTGAACAAAAGGTCTGTCACAACTGGATAAGAAGTTTCAGTAAAAGAAGAGAAAATCCCCATTAGCTGTTACGCACACACGCACACACGCACACACACACATGCAAATCCCCACTGGACATAGAATCATCTCCAACAACAGCTGCCTCCGCACCCAAGCAGAGGAAATGCCAAGGTTTTCTGAACTGGAGCATAACAGCATTGCAGTTCACATCCACACTGAAGAGTTGAAAGGCTGGACGGGCAGGAGAGCCTCTAATAGCAGGAAGTTGTAACAATAATAGTGGTATGGCGATGTCACGGCCCCTGTCCTTGTGTCATGCAAATTCTAGCCAAAAAAGCTGAGTTTGAGTGTGCTGCTTGCTGTGGGCTTACCAGACGCAGGGTTTGTAGGGAGATCATTTCAAAAAAAGTGACAGAGTGACATTTCACAGTTAAAAAGTATCATATCTATTGTGTATCAGTACTTCAGCGTTTATTCAAATGATGGCAACATCACAAAGCTATTCTCTATCAAACATGTGTGCAGTTGTCTCTCATCTATATGCTTAATGTTATAGACCTATTAACTGCTTCTCTGACTGTAAAGCAAAGTTTATACCCCAAGAGATGAAACTGGAAACATTTTGCCTTACAGGGAAGTTTTTTCATCAGTGATAGCAGTGACTGTGTCAGTATTCTCAAAAGGATTACTCAGCCATTCCAGGTCTAACCTTAGCAGTGAATAACACTGCAAAGCATATTAAATGTTAGGGGGGGAAACATGACACAAAGTTGAAATTTATGTGGTCATACCTAACCTGAGCCTGACACATCAGAACATAAAAACCTGTGACTTTTATCCTCTGCATCTGTCCTGGATTACTTAAGAATGACTGCTAAGTAAATTAAAGAGCTCAGGAACATTCCCATAATCCAAGATCTTAAACTCCTGTGCCACTGACCCAAAGGCAAATACCACTGTGTGAATGTGTGTGCGTGCACATCCATTTGTGTGTTTGCATGTTAAGAGGGAGTGCCTTAGAGTTCACAGCTTGTGTAAGTGTGCATGTGGGAGCCTGTGCATGAATGCATGGCAGTGTGTGTATTTACGAGCTCGTGGACAGTTTATGTGCGTATGTGAGTGTGTGCGTCCCTGCTTGGGCTGCAGCTGAACAGGCCCCCAGCAGCTAAATACTTAAACAGTCTCCTCTGCTTTTTTGTGTGGATTACACAGTGTAATCCACAGCCTGCTTCACACTTGGCTCCCATGAAATTGTTCCTTCTTTGGCTTATTGAGAGATTGCCTTCACTGTAAAATGCTTCTGCGGAGTTTGCCAAGGACCAGAGGTGTCCGATTCACAAGAATCAGAGACAAAGAGAGAGTGACAGATCCAAGGCTGCTGCACTCTCCCATAGCCCCTCTAAACATCAGAAATTCCCATTGTGTTTCGTTTTTGTTCCCATTTTTGCTATCAAAAACATTATAGTGAGGGAGAAAAGACAATTAGAACAAAATAATTATATTTATTGAATTGCCTCAAGTTGTGGTCCATCAGTTAAGTAATAAATTTCGTCAAGTTGCCCAGTTATTAACTTGGGAAATGAAAACGTCTCTTTGTTTCGCGAACAGTGCAGCTCAGTGGCCGTGTTCCTCTGCTGCACACTTTTTCTTCCAAGTGACCAGCTAGTGAAGTCATTAGGCTTTCCACTCTCTTAACAGGAGGTGGGGCGCTCCCCATAAAAACGTATTCTTAACCAGCTGCACAAAGACCGTGTGCAGTCCCAGTCTCCTCCACGCTGTGAGTACGCAGCGGCTGCACGGATCGCTCCTTTTGGACCTAAAAGGGCCACATTGAATGAACGTGGACACATTTGCTGCAGTTTTGTCTCGGCCGAACCCCAGTTTTCTGCTGCGACTGTTCTCCAGAAAATACTCTAATCCCCACCCCGAGACGCATCGGGACCCGTGAACAGAGAAGCTGCGGGAGTGGTCTGGAAACTTTTGCCACAATGAGCAAGCGAACGGTCAACCTTGATACCTACAGCCTGTCGCTGTTCACGGCCAAAGAGGACATCCTCAACCCCCGTTCTTCCACGAGCTGGTAACACATATTGCTTTTACACAAATCTGCATCTGCCAGCCACACCTGAGTTTATCCTTTTTCATAAGAGCAGACCGAGCTCCGACTTTGTTGTTCTGTTAGCGTTTATATTTTTTATAACGCGGTCAGAAATTCAAGTAAAGTTCGCAACTTTAGTCAAACTTTCATGCTCTCCATCTTGTTTTCCATGCGCGTAAGATGGAAAACAGCTTCTTGCGTAAGAAGAGGGCAGATTTAAGCTAATCCAGTAACGGATATGGAGGTGGCCAACACAGAGATAGCTCACAGCCTGCTATGTATTTGCAAGTCCTGTGCACGCAGGGTGGTTTATTGCCAAAGGGATGCACTCACTTTTAATTGCCGTTCATTACGCACGCCAGGCTGCTGGTGTGGCTCGGTGCGCGGCACCTGGATCTCCGTGACTTTGCTATTCTCCCCCAGGAATTGTGAGGCTTTGCCGGATCGTCTTTCTGCAGATGTGCTGATCCCTGACATGGGCTGTCTTTCAGGCAGAGCCCTCTTAATTTGAAAGGCAGCACTGCATGCATGAGTAACTCCATATGAGCAACGAGACTTATTAATGTAGAGCAATAGCGAAGATGACTAACAAAGTTTTAGGAGAAATCTTACTGGCCGGGGGGTGTAGCTAGACGAAGAACCAATATTCAACCTAAATTCACAGTTTAGGAAAGTTTCATTTAATCAGTTGTTTTTAATGTCAGATCTAGTTTTCAGATTATTTAACAGACTAAGGAACAGAGAAAGAAATACATTTATTAGGTTCTAAGAATGCTGGACTGAGATCATGCCCATGTAACCTGAGCATCTGACACTTGACTCATGTTTTTGCCATAGGGTTTGGCTGATCTGTCACTATGGTGATCTACCCTTCTTTTACAAACAGTGTCAGTCTTATTGTGTACTCCTCTTCCTCTTTTTTCTTTTTTTCTTTTTTAAATTTCATGCACATTGTGTGTGTGCTTGTGCGTTTTGTAATCCTCTGATATGAGCATGTTGTTGCAGGCTATACTCAGTAAAGTTAAAATTAAATACATGCAAATTTACCCCTCTCTTGCTTTACATCCACTCACTTTGACGAAGAAAAAAAAATCCAAGACCCCAGCTCGAGCATGTGCCCAAGTGGAAGTAGAGGACAAACTTGGTCCATCCCTGCTTCATCTCCCTCTGCCTCAAACCTCTTCCCCCCGCCCACTTTCTTCCTACATTCTTCCTGGCTTCAATTTGGAACTAACAACGCCACTCAGGAAATGAGTTTCAGAGCGCTTTGAGTTAACCATGACAAGCTGAAATCTGACAGCTTCACAAATGGAGTGGAAACACTTTTCCCCATCCAGAGCATAACTCAGCTCAGTTTCCACTCTTTCTTAATTTTGGCAAACCTCTCAAAGTTTCCATGTTCAGAATAACTTTTTGTCCCATGGTAACTGCTACATGCTGACACTTCACTGAACCAGCAGTTCCTCATTTGAGGGCATTTCCCCCACAGCTTCGCTGAATAACAAAATCTTGATTGGGTCTCTGCCAACCAGGTGCCTAAAACAAATCTACAAACATGTGTGGATGCATATGCCTGTGATTACAACAGAGGAAAAATAGAAAAAAGAAAGAAAGAAAAGGGCATTCCTAAGCATTCATTTAACCCGCTTTCAAAGGATAAATAATTCTGCTGTGACTGAATAGCGAGGTGGGAGGGGAACATGATGATGTCATGATTCCCACTGTCAAACTATTCAGCCCATCCTTGTGCATGTGTAACCATCTGTGAAATTTCAATGTGTATGTGAGCTTTCACATCAGTATATTTGTTTCTGGATGGGCATATACTTCCTGCAGAGACTACTTGAGTTAAGGCGTCAAGAAGTTTTTGCGGAGGCTTGTTGTGCTGAATGATCCCGCCCCACTGTGTGGCCTTGCGATCCTCGTGTGTATTATCTAATGACCTTGTGTCCTGAATGGGAAACAGACCCTTTGTGGGCGAGACTCTGAAGGAAAGACGGGCAATTTCAATGCATCCATCATTCAGACTTCTCTGTTCAACAGACAGCCTTGGAGGTCTGTGCTTAGTCTCCTGGACCACTCAAGACTACCAATTGTGTTACTCAGAAGCTGTGTTTGCATGCCTTTTAAAAGGAAGAAATAAAAGAAAATAGTTCAGATCTATTTTTACAATACAACAGTGAAATCTTATGAATTGTAAGAAGTCATTATTTACATAACTAACCTTTGCTTTTCATGTTGTACAACATAAAATTGTTGTTCTAGCACCTCGGAATGCAAGCAGGAGGTAAAATAATGTTTATGCTTTTGTTTCAGCCACGCAAATCATATAAGATAGGAATTCATATGAAGTTGTGGAGTGTTTTCATCAGAAAAAGTGTGGGCTATATCTAGACATCTGTGGCCCTGGGCAAGATTAACACATTGTTGTTGTTTTTTTTTATCAACATTATTCTTGCAGATCACACTTAATTCTCTTGCAGGGGATGACTGCAGCTAGGTAGCGACACATAAAGTAAACACCTGAGTTCATTATAGTAGTTGTTTTTTTATGTTTTTATCTGTTATGGAAAATACATTGAATTTTCATGTAGTTAAATGTGCTGCATAAATAGCATTGAGAGTGACATAGTAACTGAGTCATTGTGCTTAGAGCATTCAGCAGTCAATCTTGGCTGATTCTTGATTGTTTTTCTAGTTATAGATAATCCAATATTTACATTCATTAAAGAGATATTTGTCATTAAGGTGGTATGGAATTGTTCCTAAGCTGCTAAAAAAAATTCCCTCTTTGGTTTGAAATGACTTATTGTTGAGTGATGTAATACCTTCATTTGTGATCTGTTTTTTGGCAGAAGTGTAACAGCCAGGCGATCTGTCATCAAATGTTAATGGTCACAGAATTACAGGTGTTAGGTTTCAGCATTGTTGCTTTGAAATAGAAATTCGCCACAAGTGACGTTTATTATTTAAAGGCATCCAGTTTCGTGAGGAAAACTTCCCAAATTGTAATTGGCGTGCTGTTTTTGCTGCTTGTAAATTGTTAAATGAATATTACTTATTGTTACATTAATCATTTTCTTTGTATTGCTACTTTGGGGCAGTGTGTAGTAGTAGGATAGTACTCTAATAATGCCTAGCTCCTCTAGCCTGTGATTACATGTCAAGCTATCCTCAGGCAAGATACTGAACCCTGAGTTGCCCCTGATGCATCATCTGGAGTATGATTATGTGGATGTCAGGTTAAAAGCTCGTAAGCATAGAAAAAGTGTGAATAAGTGAATGAGCATTGTAGCAAGAAAGCGCTTTGAGCGTTCAAATGGATTAGAAAAAAAAGTGCTGTATAAGTAGCAGTCCATTTACCATTTCTTTAATAAGATTTCAAAAGTCAGTGGGAAATGTAGGAAATCAGCATCAGCCATTTACATTTAGCAACACATTATCCCTCCTCCCCAGGCCTCTAATCTCCTGTGAAGGGATTCTCCTATTTATGATAACTTGGACTACCTTTATTGCAACATAGGCTTTTTGCGTTGCTTCAAAAGTTCCACAGGCTCATGCATGATTAACTGACACCTAAACAGTCCCTGAGTCTAAAGTTACTTTCTAGATGAAGTACACCTGTGTTGCAGGGCTGCATGTGTGTGAACGTGCACACTTCGGTTCTTCTGCCTGTAAATAGTAATAAAGTACAGTTAACACTGTTATCAGGAAGCTAATCCCTGCTTAAACTTCCTTGTACACGTTCTGCTTTTTGTTCAGTTCCTGAATTATCCACAGTGACCCACCTGTCAAAACCCCCCTAAAACACAGCAGTTGTAGCTTTTCATACACACATGCCATTGTGCAACGTTACCTCACGTCCTTCTATGTTGAAACAATACCTGCTGGTCACCTTACTGTAAAATCCCACAGAAGGAACCCAAGCAGTCTGATTGGTTCCCTTTCCTTTCACTGTTCAGGATGAGGCTTCCAAGGTTGCACAGTTGCTTCCAGGCTCACTGACACAAGACACATTGATCTAAAATATAAATAGCAGCGTACTGTAAATAGGACATCAGAGGTGAGTACACTGGACCGTGACAGTATAATCTTTGTCACAGCGACCTGTACCGTACCTTGGAGTAGCTTTGTTTGTGACATAGAGGCATGAATCTTATCAAAAGAAACCCACATCCTGTCACTTATTTTTCCTTTAACACTAAGACTACAACTTGGCCCAATCCGGTGGGTTCCATGGGGGCGACACTTGAACACTAACATAAGCTGATCAGAGCACAACTGGAGCCGGTGAAGTGCTTTTTGTGTGACATTAGGACAAAGATCATACACACAAGTGACCTGTTGGGGCACATACTTATCAGCTTTTTGTTTAACGTTATTCCAACAGAATTTCCTGTCTTGTTAGAAAAACAAACAATTCCACTGCACTGTGTAGGCTGAAGCTTCTGCAGAGCAGTACCCTCAGCTTGTGTCGCTTGCTTGTGTGAGCAAGTTTGTGGGTGGCATGTTTGAAGATGATGACAATGATAGCTATAATGGCTGTTGTATGTATCCCTGTTTAGATGAACTTAGGGGATGATTTGAGCAGTTATCACTAAACAACTGCTTTCTTCTCCCTTAAATGTTGTTTAGAGTCATCTAGGGTCTGAGACAAAGCTGCAGGGTAATGGTAGGGTTTAGCCATGGTGAGACATGACTACACACCGTGACACTGGATGTGTGTATTCTACCTGTTTGGCCTCACATGTTTGGGTCTCTGAGTGTGCAAACTGTTGTTTGTTTGGAAGTGCGACTCGTAGCTGCCCCACAGAAAATGGAAAATGTTGGTAATTAATGTTTCACAACTTCAAGGTACTGTCGTGCCATTCATTTTGGTTTCAGGTGTCAGTTGTGAACAATGTAAAGAGCTCTCACCTTAATAAAAGAAATTGTATCCCACAGATTTTCTTTCCATTGCAGCAAAGGTTTGGTATTAAGAT